AAAAAAAGAGATTTTAACAAGAGAGTGTTAAAGCTGGAAAAGAGCCAAAAAGGGCTGTAGCTTAAAAAAAAAAAAATTCACTGAAGAAGCGGTGGTGTATGTTGGCAAAGAGAAGTGCAAAGTTGAGGGGAGGGAGAATTTATAGTAGAGGAAGTTGGTGTGAAGTTTTCCTTTAAAGATGCCCAGCAGAGCAAAGAAGGAATGAAGGCAAAGGCCACTGGGAATAAGGTAGGGCTGGAGCTCAAACAGCACAGGAGAAAGAAAGCAACTGGGCTCCAAGTGGATTTTTTTTTTTTTTTAATTAACTGACCCAGATTTTCTTGTTTGAGGCCAAAGGCAACTGCAGGGTTTAAGAATCTTAAAAATAAATTATAAAGATCCTAATCCTTATAATTGCCATTGGCCCAAGATAACGTAAATTATAAAGACCATAATAGAATTAGAATGAGTTTCTGAGAAAAATACCAAATACCATTTTAGAAGAGAAATTGCACTTTATTGCTATGCTGTAGAAATACTGTCATGAATCAGCCTGCTTTAGGTCCTAGCCACTTTGGCTCAGTGCATAGAGCGCAGGCTGGGGACTGATGAGTCCCGGGTTCGATTCTGGTCAAGGGCACATGCCTGGTTGTGGTCTTGATCCCCAGTAGGGGGCCCCGTGCAGGAGGCAGCCAATTAATGATTCTCTCTCATCATTGATGTTTCTATCTCTATCCCCCTCCCTTCCTATTTGAAATATATATATATATATATATATATATTCAATATTTTTTAATATATTTTATTGATTTTTTTTACAGAGGAAGAGAGAGGGATAGAGAGTTAGAAACATCGATGAGAGAGAATTATTGATCAGCTGCCTCTTGCACACCCCCTACTGGGGATGTATCCACAACCAAGGTACATGCCCTTAACGGGAATCGAACCAGGGACCTTCCAGTCCACAGGCCGATGCTCTGTCCACTGAGCCAAACTGGTTTCAGCTATTTTTTTTTTTTAAACTGCTTTTGCTTTCTCTCTTTATCAGCCACAGGGTAAATATAGAAACTTTGTAGCTACATACAAAGACACAGAAGATAGTATGTAACCTAACATATATGGTAAAGCTGAGTTACTTGTCTTTGTACATTGCAACCCAGTGCCTACATCCCAAGAAGTGTTTTACTTGGTTCAGGATACACAGGGCAGGTTAAAAGACTGAACAGAGAAAAAAAATTAAGGTTAAAAACAAAGACCATAATATGAGGGAGAGGAAAACTAGAAGGGCTATGCTACTGATATAGAAAATAGAGACATTAAAAACATGGAATTCAGTCAAGTCAGCGAGGGGAAAATGGAGGCAAGACAAAGGAAGACTCAACACTATGTAACATCTTGATAGCTTCACTTTGAATTTCAAATCTTGAGTCAAAATTTTCAATTATTAAAAAAAATCAACAGATTTGAATCGTTTGATATAGTCATGTAATTTAAAATAACTATAAAAAGTTGCAAATCAATGTCTTTTTTTTTTTTTTTTTTAAACGAAGACTTAATGGCAGGCAATAAAGCTAGATACCAATCACCTTGCCTTTAAGCCACTCACTGCTCTTCCTACTCAGGGGACAAAACCAAATTCCTCACACCTGCATTCAGAGCCTTCGTGGGCGGGCTGGCCTGACTCAGAGGTTGAGCATTGACCTATGAACCAGGAGGTCACCACTGGATTCCTGGTAGGTGCACATACTGATCAGTGATTCTCTCTCATCATTGATGTTCCTATCTCCTTCTCTGAAATCAATAAAAGTGTGTGTGTGTGTGTGTGTGTGTGTGTGTGTGTGTTAAGCCTTTAATGACCTAGCCACTGCTGTACCCAAACAACCTTAACTCCCCTGCTCCCTAAACCGGCTCCTCACTCCCCGGTGCACAGGCCTCCTGACCAATCTTCTCTCCCTAGGGGTTGGCCATCCCACCTGCCTACCTGACATGGCAGTCTCCCTCCGCCTACAGGCTCTGGCTGCCCCAGGCCCACACTGGCGAGGGGCCGTCCTGCAGCGTCTCCGCAGCCCTGCAACCCTCCCTTCCTTCCTGGGCCTCCCGGGCGCGGATTCTCCGTTTGCCGGGGCCCCTTCCCTCCCCACGCGAGGGCCTTCTCCCTGCTCCAGGCCCTTCTCCCAGGGGCTCGCCCCTGCCTGCCTCCGCTCAGGCACAAGCTCTGCACTCGGCCTCTCTTAGGACTTTCCCACCTGGGGCGAAACCAGACCCTGGACGTCCAGCACCCCCTCCCCACTCACCCTCTCTCACCACCCTCCCGGGGCTCCCCGCAGCCCCCCTCTGGAACGCCGGTTCCCCAAACCTCCCCGCGGTCGGCCGCAGCCAACCCTTCCTATCCGGCCCGGGCGGCGGGGGTCAGCGGTGACTCACCGGAGGGGAGGGCTGGCCGGCGCTGGGGGCCGGAATGCGCTCACTTCCTCGCCGCGCACCTGCCCGGCGCTGCTGGAGCGCCGCCCGGCCGGGCCTCCGGCGGATGTTTTCTGTCCCCGCGCCGGCGGCCGCGCCAACCCCGGCGCCCCCTCACCTGGCACCTCCGGGGCCGCAGGAATCACGGGGTTGAGCCCTAATTGCTAACACTCCTATACACACACACACACACACACACACACACACACACACACACCCTCAGAAGCTGGGCCTCCAGCCCCAAGAACCTACAAAGATGCGCACGCAACACACCCCAATAGACATGCAAATGGATTCAACCAACACCTCCCCCGCCACTCCCCCACTCTGGGAGAGGGATCTTTCTTCCCAGAAGAGCCCCCTACTCCTACATCTTCAGTACACAGTTCTCACTTCGGTCCCCATGACCCCCCATCAATGCCAATCCCCACGGGGTCCCCCGTCGCCTTCCAGCATCACCGCCACCACCTGCATGCTCTCTAGCTCTCCTCTAGTGCAGCCCCTAGTAGGCTGGCTCCAGGCTGCAGGAACAGAAGGTAGTCTATGGCTCAGCCTTCAGGTGTCAGCTAGTGTCCCTCCCGCAGAAAGGCAGCAGCAGAGCGCCTGACCTCTGACCAGGCTGCTGGGCCCTGTGGTAGGCAGGCCTCCTGATTCACCTGCTCCAGCCAAGGCCATGCCTCCCACACAGCGGCCTACATCAGGGCACCCTGCTTCAACCAGGAGGTTCCTCCGCTCTCGGCACTCCTCTCAAGTGGAAAGGCCATCAGCCCCGGTGAGGGTGAACGTGTGGTACCATCTGCATCTCCTTCCATTAGGCTGTCTCCTTGGGAGAGGGCAGAGAGGGAGTTTGAGGTGGGCTGAGGAGTTGCTTTTGAATAGTAAAGAGGTGAAAGGCAGGGTAACTTTCTGTAAAAGTCAGCCAGTCTTGGAGTAGATGAAACTGGAGACTTGGATGGAAAATAAAATACATGCCAAAGTGATTGGCCCTGTAGGCAGGAGGGGAGCACCTGGAATAGGAGCCTGTGGGGTGTAGAAAAATGAAAGAAATCTAGGTTAGCCAGAGGACATTAGTACCAAAGAGATAGCCAGCATTAGAGTAATCAGAAAGGAGAAACGTGAGAGTTTGCATGAGTGAGGATGGAAAGAAATGGATCAAAATCCATACGAAAAAGCAGGAGGACTAAGTAAGCTGGTAGGATAAGAAAATATCTCTTCCCAGGGTAGAAATGAGGGTACTGGCCCAGGGAAAAGTTTTATCAGCAACACTGTTGCTCAAACCAAACACTTAGAATCTCAAAGACACGAAGACCAAAACCAGAATGCTCCTAGAGGTAGTTTTTGAAGGAGGTGGTAGGGATGACATGGAGCATGAGTGTGAAAGGGACACAAGTCCATGTCTGGTCATAGCAGAAGCTCAGTGTCACTTAGAGGAATATCTACCCATCTTGTCTCTGAGCTCTAGTGCCATCCTCAGTAGCTGATATTTTCTGAGGGCTATGTGCTGGGGACAGATAACATGCATTATCTCATCTAATATTCTTAGCAACCCTATGAGTAGTTCTATCCCAATTTATAGATAAGGAAACAGGTTTTGAGAGGTGAACTAACTTGCCCAAAGACACACAGTTCTTAAGTGGAGTCAGGATCTGAATCCAAGTAGTCTGACTCTGCAACCTTTGCTCTTAATCACCCATCTTGGGTTCTCCACAGCCTGCAGGAAACCCAAAAGAGGATGTTCAGGGATGAATCCCTAAGTCCTCACTCCGTAACATACAGGAAACTGGGGTGGCTCCTGCGTTAGAGCATTTGGAGGAAATGTTCCTCTGAAAGAACCATCGCAGTCGGGGAGACGGCGTATCTGCTGTACGCTTGGGTGATGAACAATGGAGAACCCATCTCTGGATGCCTGTGGAAAAGAGACAACCTCCCCCCTGACCCCCGTCTCTGAAGGGCAGCCATGTCTCTAGGATACTTCAGGGGGACCCTGCCCTGGGGTCTGAGAGAAACATGCTCCACTCCAGGTGCCTGTTTGCTCTCCTGGAGCCTCTGGCCGTCGCACCCTACAGCAGCTCCTCGGTTTGGCTGGGGCACAGGATTAGCCATCCCCAGGAAATGCCTCCCTCCGGTCCAGGCAGGGATCCCAGCACATCCACCCCTGGAGAGAGTGTGTGTGGTATTGTGGGGTGGGGTGGGAGATGGTGGAATGCTTCCTTCTCTCCAGGTCAGAGAAGAGATCTGGGGACCACCTGGGGGCCCTCACCCCTCCCACCTCCTTGTTGGGGGAGTGCCCAGTCCGGTGCCCCTTCCATGGCCACCTCCCTCCCCCTAGCTGTGCAGGGGCATGAATCAGCTCTCACAGCTTGTTAAAGCTGGACCTCTTGTTTTCATGCCCTCACCCCAGGAAACAGTTACAGCTTTTCCAGCTCTACTCAGCAGGGGGCCAGGGTCCTCACTTTATAAACATCTCCAAGCCTGTGAGAGCAGAGGGCACGGAGATGGTGTGAGACAGGAGCCCAGGAGAAAAGACGGACACGAAGACTTGAGGAGAGAAACAAAGAAAAGCCAGGGAGACAAGACCGGAGGAGCCTGACAAGCCAAGAGGGTCCCAAAGGGCTGTGCTCCAGGAATGGCCCTCAGGATGCTCTGGGGTGGACAGGCTAAGGGGATCCCGCGAGGCTGGGGGATCATCTGCTTGGTGATCTCTCTGCTCCTTCAGCACCCCGGAGTCCACAGCAAATGCTACTTCCAAGCTCAAGGTAATGCTGGGTGAGGCATTGGGAAAGGAAAAGGAGCAGAGAGCATTCACTGGATGGAGGGGGGCTCAGAGATGATTGGGGTCACTCAGAAACAGGAAAGACTAAACATGGGGAGAGCGTGCCCTCGGCTCTCTCCTACCCCAGGATGATTCCGTCTGCCGCCACCGCTCCCCTATACGCTAACACTTCCTGTTCTTCCCTAGCCCCCTGCCGCTATGAGGGGAAATATTTCACCCTGGGCGAGTCCTGGCTCCGCAAGGACTGCTTCCACTGCACCTGTCTGCATCCTGTCGGTGTGGGCTGCTGCGACACGTGAGTGACCGTAAATGGCCAGAGAGAGTGGCTCTGATGTGAGAGAGGGCCGGGGCATGGTTACTAGATTCTGTCGTGCTAGAGTGAACAGAACAGCAGTCTGAGGCTGGCTGAACCTGAAGGTAACAGTAAGAGTGTGAGAGAGAAAGCTTCAGGCTACGCAGTGAGGGAGGCAGGGGTGGGGCTAGAAGGAAAATATTGCTGCTATGAAATAAAAGTAAATCCAGCTATGATCCAGCTATGGCGGTGAGAATTTAGTTGGGGGAACAGAGGGGCCCTGAGGGGAGCTCTGGGAGGACTGTGGGGAGGAAGGGGATGCGGGAGGGGAAGGTGGCCCTTCACTGTGCTGACTCCTCCCCCATCCTTTGGGTCCCCAGGTCCCAGCATCCCATCGACTTCCCTGCCGAGTGCGAGGTCCGGCAGGAGGCGGGAACCTGCCAGTTCTCCCTGGTGCAGAAATCTGACCCTCGGCTGCCCTGCAAAGGGGGAGGGCCTGACCCAGAGTGGGGCTCGGCTAACACCCCTGTTCCTGGGGCTCCTGCTCCCCACTCCGGCTAATCTCAACCGACCGCCCTTCTGCTGACTGCCCACTGCTGCTGCCACTTCCAGGGAAACCACTAGCAGCTGCCAATTTATTCCGAATAAATAAATTAATGCTACAGCTGAACGCCTGCTTCTCATTGTCCGTGCCACTGGGCCCCCGGTGGGGACAAGGGGCCCTACTGGAGTCCAGGTGCCGGGTTCTGAGGATCCTGAAGGAGGGAGTGCTGCGGTGGGCCAGGTTCAGATGGTTATGGTGCTGGTACTGGGGCCCGGGGCTGCATACGAGGCCAGGGTCGGGCTTGTGGGCAGCACCTTGATGGGGAGGTCCCAGCTGAAGGTGTCCACGGGCACTTGCTCGGGCCCTGTCCAGGTGACAGGCTCGGGCTGTTCCACAGGAGGCAGGAGTTCCAAACCCGGTTCTCGGGATGTTACAAATTCAAAATGCAATCGCCACTTCAGGGACACTGGAATAAAGACATAGACAGGGGCGTTAGAAGCTAGAATTAAAAGCCAATGGCAGGGCATGGTTAGCAAATTACAAAAACCTGTATTTGGGAGGAGGGGGAGAAATCACAGGACAGGGAGCTAGGATCGAGGTTTGTTGTTTTTGTGTGTGTTTTTTTAAGTAATCCAGTGGGTTAACCAGAACGTGACAATAAGGACAGCAACGTCAAGAATCTAATAGCCCAAATGTGAGACAGTCAAGATTTGATAGCCTAAAACCGCGGCTCGCGAGCCACATGCGGCTCTTTGGCCCCTTGAGTGTGGCTCTTCCACAAAATACCATGGCCTGGGCGAGTCTATTTTGAAGAAGTGGCGATAGAAGAAGTTTAAGTTTAAAAATTTGGCTCTCAGAAGAAATTTCAATCCTTGTAGTGTTGATATTTGGCTCTGCGGACTGATGATCTGCCAACCCCTGGGCTAGGCCGTGGTCGGCAAACCGAGGCTGGCCCCTTGAGGGTTCTGACGCCACTTCTTCAAAACAGACTTCTCCAAAATAGGCCGAAAACCGACTTCTGAGCACGGGCCACAAAGCTTCAATCGCACTGTATGCGCGCCTGCACGTGGTATTTTGTGGAAGAGCCACACTCAAGGGGCCAAAGAGCCGCATGTGGCTCGCGAGCCGCGGTTTGCCGACCACGGGGCTAGGGAATCAGCGATCAGTGAATCGCAGGTCCCTGTGAGAATGGGTAGGGACGGAGAGCTCCAAAGCGGTTCAGCGTTTAGGGGTCAGTGCATCTAGAAAACAGGTTGAAGAGCTCAGAGAGTGTCAAGGGTCAGACACTGGATGCAGGGTGTGTGTCAGTGTTGGGAATCAGGATCCATCACATTGTACCTAAGAACGGTATTTTGCTCCCTCTCCCCCACCTCCGACAGTGGTCAGGGTCTCACCAATGGCGGTGCAGAAGCCTGGGGTGGAGCTGAGAGGGATGGGGAGGGAGAAGCTGGTTCTGGTCGTATGGAGGCAGGACTCCTGGTGCCGGGCGTGAGTCACGTGGGACACTGCGGGGGCACCCCCTGCCCCACGGCGCCGCTGGTACTCCGGCTGCACCCGCTCCTCTGTCTGCAAACTCACTGAAAACTGGGAGCAAGAAAAGTGTGTGCCAGCAGGCACCGGGAGCTGCCGGCTCCGGGTGAGAGGGCAGCCCACCCTCAACCTGCTTTACAGGGACCCCACTATCCACGTATACATACCGCCCTCTTTACGCAGGCCCCTCTGCTGCCCTAGCCCTTCAGGCCCAGAGTCCCATAAGCCCCTCTCCCTCCTCACCTGCAAACACGCTACAGTTCCTTCCCCTAAGTTTAAGGTTCCCACCACGTCCTCGCCAAGTCTGTACACAGATTTGAAGATGCCGAATGTCCCAACTTTTCCTCGGCCATCACTGATATTGTATAGATCTGGGGAAACAGGACACTGTAAGCCTCCAGTTCACACTGGAGAAGGCCTAGGGCGTGGAGCCAGATGCCAAAAGGTGGGGCTCTTCTTTATAATCTAATCTGGGGGGAGCTATCAGTGGATCCTCAGAAGCATGCGGCAGGGAGGAGGACTTGCCCCTGAGACAGGAACACCTTGAGGGGAGGAGGGGGTGAGACAATCTGGAAAGGATTCTCACGGAGGCTGCGGCAGGATGTGGCCGCCATGAGGCGCTCCCCAGCCAGCTCGGCTAGCCATGTATCCTTCTTCCCACCTTCATCCTCCTCCAAGAACGGACTGGATGGGGCCACAGCCTCATCCTGGGGAAACCGGACATCCTGAAGGCCTAGGAAGAAAATGAGCAGAGAAGTAGTGCTGGGAGGGAACAGAGTGAGAGCAGAAGGTGGGTCTGGACTCCAGCCTCAGAGGGCTGGAGGTAAGGGGGGACATGGCTGGGACACACATCTACACCTCTTCCCCAGAGCCCTCCCGCTACGGCCCCTGCATACCTCCCCTGAGACCAGGAAGCTCCCCTCCAGCCCCTCTCACAAGCTCTCTAAACCCCACTTCTGCTTTGGTGAGGCTCTTCCTAGCCCTTCCCCCCAGGAACCCTTACTCACCTGTCAGCACAAGGACTCTCAGAGGGACCCTGAGCAAAGTGATGGGTGAGTTGACACGCTGGCAGCCGATGGTCAGTTTGTAGACATACTTAACTGACTGGCCTCGGAAGGAGGGCGGTCCCTCTATGGGCAGCACTTCGCTGTAGGAGTCTGGTTGGGAAGCAGCAGTCAGGGCGGCGGAGGCAGGCAGAGCAGCCCTCCCTCCGGGGAGCTCCGGCGGGGTGGGAGACAGTCACTTACACGATTTGGACTCCCCGGGGTCCAGCCTCAGGTCACAGAATAGGATCTTTGGTGGAGTGGAAAGGATACACTGACCCCTCTCACCTAAAAAAGACAAGGACCGCAGTTTAACGATCCCGTTGGCCGGTGCTGGACGAGGCCAGCACATCAGGTGGGGGCAGTAAGCACTGCCAACAAATGACAGCTCACGGTAAGCTATCCCCCTTTTCTTGTGAGATAGCAACAGTCTTACAGCCCCAAAGCAACAGCTGCATTCCCCTCCCCCACCCCACCCCCATACTCCCAAGGCACGGAGACTGTAATGACCCGCTGGAACAAGTTAAAACGTCACCCTTCGGACACCATTACCCCGTTCCCACCAAATGCCCCATCTCTAACCTCGGTGTGGTAGAAAGACAGTCTGGCTCTCAGGCTGAACATCTGGCTGATTGGAGTCCGGGGGAGGCAGTGCTACTCGACTCTCGCTGGCATGGAACTGGCAGTGGATCTGGGCGCTGGCCCAGGCCAGAGCCTCACTATGGGAGGGAGTAAGGGAGGCATCAGCGGGGAGTTCCTGACCTCACCAAAGCTCCCCCAAACGCCCTCCCTACCACACACACTGTCTAGGGACCAACATGGTTAGGTGCTGTCTTAGGGCCGGGAAATCCGGGACCCCAAAAAAGAAGCCATTATTACCAGAAGGAAGAGGGGTGTGGGGAAGGCAGAAGAGGGCAAAGGGGATGAATGGTGGTGGGAGACTTGACTTTGGGTAGTGAGCAGCACACTGTACAATATACAGATGGTATGACAGAACTGCACACTTGAAGCCTATATAATTTTATTAACCAACATATTCAAGAAAAAGAAAAAGAGACCACTGAGTAGAGAAGTGCACTGTGGGTAAAAGGGAATGGGGAAAGCGGGAGGACGGAGAGTGGAGGGCTATGTCAGCCCCATGGGTTAAACGGCCTCTGCTGCAATGACAGCACAATGCGCAGGAAGGGGTGTGTAGCCACAGGACCAGCTGGGCTCTGGCTCCGCACTGCAGACACCAGGCCTTCTCCCAGAGGGCCACTCACTCCTTCAGCACCAGCACTCCCACCTGGATGCCGAGGTGGCGGTGGGGGGCAGAGGGTTGGTGACGGTCACCACGCACTCCAGCGCCTCCCCCGCCAGAAACACAGGACCTCGGCTCAGCTCTGCCACCACTTCGATCATGTCAGCTCCTGACTCGGACCTGGGAGGGAACAAAGCGGGTCAGAAGCCAGGCCCACGGCAGGGAGGGGTGTCTGCGTGGAGCCCGGGGGTGAGGACGGAAAAGACGGGCGGCCAGCACCCCGGTGTCGGAGGGAAGCGCCTGCCTCTGGGTGCGGGGAGGCGGGCGGTAGGGGCCGGCGCTGCCCAGGCGGAGGGGGCCGCTCGGGCCCCAGCTGCCCTCCTTCCTCTCGGTACCTGGCTAGTCCCCCGCCCCCCCTAAACCCCCAGCCCGGCCTCTGCCCCCTTCCCTCAGGTCTCCACGTCCCGTCCCCGACCACGGACCCCCGTCACCCGGCGCCCGCGGCCCGGGCACCGCGCCAGGTGGACACGGGGGTCCCGGCGCTCAGAGGCCTCACCTGTCCGCCCCTCCCGGCCCGGCCCCGAGAGTGACTGGCGTCCGCGGTGGAGGCGGGACTTCCCTTCAGCCCCCTCCCGGGGCCGAGCCCCTTCCTGCCGGAAGCACCCGGCGGGCCGGACCGGAAGGGGCTCGCGTCCTGCCGCCGCGGGTCACCTTCCCACGGCCCCGGCACCTGGGCGCGGGCGCTGTCCATCCCCGGCCGGCGGGACCCGGCGCCCACCCCAGGGGGACCTGGGGCCGCGGCCCGGGTTCAAGGCGGAGGCCGCCGCGCGCGCGCCCAGGCCGGTCCCGGGGGCGGCGCCTGGCGGGCGGCCCCTCCCCTTCCCGCTGGCCCAGTAGTCGCCCTTTGGCCGGGCTAGCTCATCATCGCGGCCCAATGACGACGAGGCCCGACCCTTCCCGCCCAGGCCCCGGAGAGACGACGACGGGGAGCCCGAGGCGGCGGCTTCACTGCCGTCGCCTCCGCCGCCGCAGCAGCAGCCACAGCCCCCGGGCTCCACGGAGGCACCTGCTCGCCGCAGCTTCTTCCCCCAGCGGCCGACCCTCCGGGACGGCACCGGCACCGGACCCCGATCGGCACCCGCTTCTGCATTTGGTTGGCGAGATACTTTGTATCCGAAGGCGCGGGACCTGGGGCCATCGAGGTCGTGGGGACCCAGGATCCAGGGAGCATGGGAACCGGAGTCCCCGCCTCGGAGCAGACCGGCTGTGCCAAAGGGGACCCACGGGTTTACTGCCCTAACGACACAGGAGACTCTGAGGCCGTGCAGGTTACTGACTGCGAGAGCCCCGAGGACAGCCGATCCCAAAATGAGCTGGGCTACAGCAATCCGGAGGACCCTGGGCAGCTGATGGCTTCCTACGAGGGGCAAGCTGAGGGCTACCAGGTGCCTTCCTTTGGCTGGCGCATCTGCTTGGCTCACGAGTTTGCTGAGAAGAGGAAACCCTTTAATGCCAATGACATCTCCCTCAGCAACCTGATAAAGCATCTGGGCATGGGCTTGAGGTGAGTAGATCCCACTGCCTCGAGTCCCGGAGGCTTCACTTTGTTCCGGCACAAGACTGCCGGCAGGAGTGGGCAGGGGTGAGAAAGCAGGTCCGTGCCTTGTCCCAATCAAGTGGCCTTTATCCCCAACGTATTCTCAGCCTTGGGTTTGAAGAGTAAGACCGGGTCACATCTTGTTGCAACCCTTTCCTCCCAGTCACCTGCCTTTAAGTAGGAAAGAGCAGAAACATCTAGGCCTGCGGCCAGCCTTTCCCGTTAAGCTCCCTCTCAGACACTCCCTCTTCTCCAAAGGTTGGTCTTCGGAGTTAGCTCTGTGTTGTGGTAGGATAGGAAAGGATAGTGTGGCCGCTGAGGTGCTGACACAGTGTTGTTTTATTTGGGAGGGGGTGGGTCTCAGAATCCCCTGAGCAGCAGGCACACCGCATTCCAGTCCAGCACCCATCACGCTGTAGTTCCCAGGCTGCCTGCTCTCAGTCCTGAGAGGGTGATGAGGGGTGCTGTTCGCTCCGCTCTGATCAGAGAGGCACTGCCATAGTGTCCCCAGAGCTCTTAGGAATAGCCTTCCAGAGCCTTCCCTGGTGTCTCCCTTGCCCCCGCACTCCCTACCGAAGGACTGCAGACGCCCGAGGAGCTCACTCTGGCTGTAGGACTCCTCTAGAGCCCTCCGTTCCCCAACGAATTAAAAAACGAGAGATGAGAGAATGAGACCTACTAACAGGAACAGGTGGATGTGAGGGCAAAGGCAGGTCATCCTGAGTCATTCTACAGTAAACACAGAGCCATGGAGGGAGTCTTGAGGGCTGTGAAATGCAGCCCTGATATGCTTCCCTACCCTGGCTGGGTTGCTCAATGGTTAGAATGACGTTCCATTCACCGAAAGGTCGAGGGTTGAATTCCCAGTCAGGGCCCGTGCATGAGGCAATCGATGGATGTTTCTCTCACATCGATGTGTTGTTGTTCTCTCCCTCTCCCTCCCTTTCTCCATCCCCTATTCCTTCCTCTTTCTCTAGAATCAATGAAAAAATATATCCTCTGGTGAGGATTTTAAGAAATAAATAAATGGATCCTTTCCTTTCCCATTCAGTGCTTTGGGGTTAGGTGGGGAGTCCATTTACCTAAGCCCAGCCCTGGGTAGTGGGAAGGGTCTGGTCCTCTCCTTTGCTAGTAACTCAGGGTGGCCAGCACCAGAGAAAAGTCATCCCTAGCTCAACGTTTGGGTCAAAACAGAATGTAGACACCATGTTTTATTTGGGAGGGGGTGGGTCTCAGAGCCCAGGTGCTAAGAGAAGCACTTTGGGGTGCATGTGGTGGGGACATTGAGGTCAAGAACAGATGGTGGCTCAGTTGGTTGGAGCATTATCCTCTACACCAAAAGGTTGCAGGTTCAATTCCCAGTCAGGGCACATACTTAGTCGGGACACATACGGGAGGCAACCAATCAATGTTTCCCACATTGATGTTTCTCCCACTCTCTCTCTCTCTCTTTTAAGATGTTTCTCATCAACGTTTCTATCCCTTTATCTCTCCTTTCCCCTTCCTTTAAAATCAATAAAAATGTATCCTCAGGTGAGGATTTAAAAGAAAAGCAGGTGGGTATCCTACCCGTGTCCCTCTGTGTGAGCTGAATCAGAGGCCTGACGCTACGCTCAGGCCCCTGGACCTTGGCTTCCCATGTCAGGATAGGGTGCAGGCCATTGACACAGGCTTTGGAATGGGATGAGGTCTTGCCCTGGGGAGAAAGCAGGGGTGAGACAAGGAAGACTTCTGAGTGATAATTCTTAAGTTGGGGCTGAAATTATGGAAAAGGCCAAATAGGTCAAGAATGGTCAACTGCCAAATTCAGGGAATGGGAGAAACCTAAGAGAAAGCTGAACTGAGGGTACTCTAATCAGGAGCGCCAGACAGACAGAGTTCTCTAGGCCTCTGTGTGGTAAGAACTCAGTTTGATTGCTCTCCCTTCCAGACCGAGTCCATTCATTCTAGTTCTATACTAGATACTCCTTTGTTCTGCTTGTTCTCATATCGCATTTCTTCCTCATTGCCCTAATGCCCATGCACTCTCTTTCTCTTCACCAATCCTTTCTGGCCTCTCAGAGTCCAGTTTCCTCTAAGTTGTCAGGAAGGATCATCTGCCATCTTCTCATCCTTTGTCTTCCCTCCCTTTCCTCCTGCCCCCCAGAATGTAACTTCCCTATTCTTTAGGCTCGTTTCTCCTCCCCTTGCTCTGGTCTGTGTTCCTCTCTCTTATGCCCCACTGTTTGTACAATCATGTAAATTCAGCAAATATTTATTGACTGTTGACCATGTGCCCTGCCCTGTGCTTGAAGCAACGGATAACAATCAACTAGTCTTTGTCACTGTCCCTTTCCCCAAGGAACTTAGAAGTATGTCAGACTCACGTGAGGAACTCTGAAATAACAAGACAGCATCTGATTGGGAATTGAGATAGTGTATGTACAAGTAATGGTCATACCTGACACAGGTATTCCACTTTATGGCTTTCCTACCTAGTATGTCATTTGCTCATTCCATGAGGTGGGTAGTTTGATAGGACAGGAGTCATCCTCATTTTGTAGATGAGGAAACTGAGGCTCAGAGGGTTACTTACACAAGTGCCTGGTTGTAAGTGTTGCGCTTGAATAGTGACTATAAAATGGCTGGGTAGGGAGTAGAATTGGGAGAGAGACTTGCAGGGCAGGGGTTGCAAGAAAGTAAGATTAGAAGACGGGTCTAGGACAGATGTCATTGAATCCCAAACAGAACCAGTTGCCCATGGGACTCAGAGCTGTGACAAACCCAGGGAAATGTGGAGGTTTTTTTTTTTTTTTAAGACTTTACCGGGATATTACAAAAGAGCAAAACCACAAAGCTTAAGCTTAGAAATCATAACTGGTCCTTTCAACACCTCGGACAAAAGCTGCCGGGTAAGTAAAGCAGTGGCAGTGGAGTTAGAGGTGAGGAAAGAGCAGAAAGCTCCTGAGGAGACTAGAGAAAAGTAACAAAGTCAGTCCCACACTGTAAGCGGGGGACTGGGAAGATGAGGGGACCTTGTTCTGTAGAGAAGCTGAGAGGAGGAGGTTTGGGAGCAAAGGTGTTGGATCCCTAGAACATGTGATGGGAAATCACAGCTGCGTGTCCAGAGAGAGGTAGGTGGCTGCAGCCAGGAAGGCACTGCCCACAGCCCTTCCGTTCACTCTGCCTCTTGCTCTCAGGTACTTGCAGTGGTGGTACCGGAAGACTCAGGTGGAGAAGAAGAAACCTTTCATCGACCTCATCAACAGTGTACCCCTGAGACAGATCTATGGTGAGCCCCACCCCAGCTCTGCCCTGCTCAGAGAGGGCGCAGAGTGAGGCAGAGATGTTTCCACTTAGGCAATCTTTACTGCCCCATATCTTAGAGGTCCCCCCCCCCAGCTTTATTGATATAATTGACGTAACATTGTATAAGTTAAAGTATACGTGTTGATTTCATATTCCCATGGTTTTTAGAGGAACCCATCTTCATAGTCTAGAAAGTGAGAAATGGCTTGTTTCCCTCTACCCATTACCCTAGTAACGGTCCTCATTCTCTTTCTAGGTTGTCCCTTGGGGGGCATCGGGGGAGGCACCATAACCCGAGGCTGGCGAGGCCAGTTCTGTCGTTGGCAGCTTAATCCTGGAATGTACCAGCACCGGACAGTCATTGCTGACCAAGTAAGAGCGAGGTGGTGGAGGAGAGGGCCAAGACAGTACCTCCCCACACCAGGAAGGACCTCTTGGCCAGTGTAGGATGTGGCAGGCAGATGTGTAAATGATTCAGTCCAGTAAGACCTTTTAGGATGCTTTCTGTGTACCCAGCTCTGTGTACTATAGGGATGAGACACTCACAGAGTACACACTCCTTGAAAGAGTTGACAGCCCTGCCTGGCACCTCTGTGCCCTCCATTTCACTAATAAATGCCTCCTGCCTACGTGCTGTCCACTAGCTGAGCCAGTACCCAGCGACAGAGTGCAGAGAATTCCCAGAGCACTTCACCTGGTTGAAAGAACACATGGTAGGACCAGACGGGAAAACAAAACCAATGACTGCAAATGCCTGAGGAAAACAGATGCATATAAAGCACCAGCTGCTCACCCTGATTTGCCAGCCCTCAGCCAGAGGCCAGCTCCTCTGCTGGTGATCACTCTCTGGTCTCTCTGGCTGAGGGCCTGAGAAGCCCCTCATCTCCCAACACAGACTTCTAGCCTTCTTCCCTTTCTGAAGCTTTGCTTCTTTTCCCTCTGTTCCTTCCTGGGCTGAGATTGCCAGAGGCATGTGATCTACTTTTCATCATCTCTCTCTAGTGACCTCTCATGTTGAGCTGTCCACCAAGTTCCTATTTCCTGTCTAAGGGATGCCTCCAGCTTCAGCTCATCTTCAAAGGAGAAATGACTAGCAGACGTTGAGTCCAATTAATGACAATGCCCTTCCTGGTTAGTTTTACCAACCCTGCCCAATGGTCCCAAGCTTCCTTTCTGGCTCATCACTCAGGTATCCCCAGGGGAATGCCTTCCAGAATCATGACTCTACAGTTAAAGTAATTATTGCATGCTTAACATGTGTTAGCATTTTTGTGTAATATTTAATACTTAAAGACAATCCTTTAAGGTAAGTATATTATTATACCCGTTTACAAAAGAGGAAACTAAGATCTAAAGAAGTTTAGTAACGTGCCCAAGGTCATATGGGCTGGTAAAGGGAAGCGCTGGGATTCAGTTCCCTCTGTGGTTCAGAGTCCATGGTCTTGCCCACCCTTTTGTTGTTCAGTGTTTGAACGTCAAACTTATGAACCTATGAACCAGGAGGTTATGGTTCAATTCCTGATCAGGACACATGCCCGGGCTGCAGATTTGATTCCCAGTGTGGGATGTGTAGAAGGTAGCCAATCGATTATTCTCTCTCATCATTGATGCTTTTGTCTCCCTCTCACTCCCTCTCCCTACCTCTCTGAAATCAATAAAAATATATGTGTTTTTTTTAAAAAGAGTCATGGTCTTAACCATTATCTACTATTACAAAACAAAAAACAAAACAAAAAAGGTATATATATGCTTAGCAATATCAGACATACTCTGAACCAAGGGAAGAGCTATCAACCCCTCAACCCCTACCCTCCAGAAGCTTAAATCTTTTTTTTTTTTTCCCCAAGTTCTCACCTGAGGGCATATTTTTACTGATTTTTTAGAGAAAAGGGTACGGAGGAAGAAAAACATTGATTGGTTGTCTCCTATATGTGCCAACCAGAGATTGAACTGGTGACCTAGGTATGTGCCCTGTCTGAATTAAACCTGCAACCTTTTTGTTGTATGGGATGCTACTCTTACTAACTGAACCACCTGGCCAGGCAAAGCTTAAATTTAAAAAAAAAAAAAAATTTTTATTGATTTTATAGAGGAAGGGAGAGGGAGAAAAAGAGATAGAAACATCAATAATGAGAGCGTACCGATCAGTTGCCTCCTGCACACCCCACGCTGGGGATCAAGCCCGCAACCCGGGTTTGTGCCCTGACTAGGAATTGGACCATGACCTCCTGGTTCATAGGTTGATGCTCAACCACTGAGCCACGCCGACCAGGCAAGCTTAAATTTTTCCTGGGGCGGGGGGGGGGGGGTTATTAGGGGACTTTGAGAAAATAGACACTGTGAGGCCACATCAATGCCAAAATGAGAGAGACACTGAGCACAAAGGGACACCGCTGCAGACTTTGCCCTTCTCTTCCTACTCATGCCAACTCTGCCTGGCTGATTGGGAGACATAGCTGGAGAGGGGAACCTCCGGGAACTAGAGAGGGTCCCTGCCCTCAACCCATGGAGCCGTCAGAGTCAGAATGTCGATAAACACATTGTCACGTATCAGAGGCTGGGGGATACACAGGAGAATGACTCAATGATTGAAGAGAAGAGATGGCATTTGGCCTCAGCCTAAAAGAATGGGGGTGTTTCACCAGATGTAGAATGAGCATGGGCAAAGGCATGGAGGAAATGTAGTGTGCTCGAGGCATAGATTATTTGATATGACCAGAATATAGGTGCTTCAACAGGTAATGAGTCTAATGAGCAGGGACAGACCAGATCAAGGTCTTGAAATCCAAGTAGAAGAGTTTAGTCTGAAGGCCGTGGGGAGCCACTGGAACATAAACAAGGACTAACACATCTTGATTTGTCCATAAGAAAGATCATGATACCCAGGTGAGTAGGGCTAGAGGGTAAAAGCAGAGATGGTGAGGGCCTGGCTTAGGGCAAGAAGACCACGGTGGTGAGAAGGGAGAGGAAGTCTGGGAGATTGATGGAGAAGGAGGCCAGACTTGGTGGTGACTCCCTGAGCTTGGGGAAAGGCCTAGGGGTGAGTGAGGCTGTGGGGCAATGGTAACCATTGCAGGCTCTGGAACCGGAGGAGCTACTTTGAAGGGAGGGAGGCTAGTGTGAAGTGCCTGTGGATTACCAGGTTCTAGCCTATCTTCTTTCTTGGTTTAGTTCACAGTGTGCTTGCGTCGGGAAGGGCAGACTGTGTACCAGCAAGTCCTGTCCGTGGAGCGCCCAAGTGTCTTGCGCAGCTGGAACTGGGGCCTGTGTGGGTTCTTTGCATTCTACCATGCCCTGTATCCCCGAGCTTGGACTGTCTATCAGCTTCCTGGCCAGAATGTCACCCTCACCTGCCGCCAGATCACACCCATCTTGCCCCATGACTACCAGGTGAGATTCCACCTCTGTGTTTCCTCCATTGTCCTCCCTTCCCTGGGACCTGTCTCTGCTGGAAGTCCATGACCTGTGAAAGAGGTTGGAGCATGAACATTATACTGGGTTTCCAGGATCACTGCCCACCTGGTCTTCTGTCTCCTGGTAGATAGCCTGCCTGGGAATATAGGGGGATGCTAGTGGGAATCAAGAATATTTTGGGAGGCCCAGGCGATGTGGCTCAGTAAGTTCAGCATCGCCCATGCAGCAGGAGTCCACTTGTTTGATTCCCAGTCAGGGCATATGCTCAGGTCGCAGGCTTGATCTCTAGTAGGGGGCATGCAGGAGGCAGCCGATTGATGCTTCTCTCCTATCAATGGTTCTCTCTCTCCCCCTCTCCTCTCCTTTCTCTGAAATCAAAAAAAATTTTTTTTTTAATTCTTTTATTGGGAGAATATATTGGGGGTATTTGAGTCAGGTCCTTGGTACGAGGCTTGGCCATGGAGAGTGGGCCCAGGAGGAGCCACACTCGGACCATCTGAGTCTGATCTCTTGCTCCCAGGACAGCAGTCTGCCTGTAGGAGTCTTTGTGTGGGACGTGGAAAACGGAGGCGATGAAGCCCTGGATGTGTCCATCATGTTCTCCATGCGGAATGGCCTGGGAGGTCGGGACGATGCCTCAGGGGGTTTGTGGAATGAGCCCTTCTGTCTGGAGCGAAACGGGGAGACCATCCGGGGGCTGCTGCTGCATCATCCGACCCTTCCAAATCCCTACACGATGGCTGTGGCTGCACGACTCACGGTATGGAGCAGCCTGTCCTGTACTGTACCTTAACCCAAACCCCTACTCCCAGCCAGCCCGAGCCCACCCCATCCCACGATGCTCTCTTCATTCCCTAAACACCCGAGTCCCACTCACCACGGCCCATAAGCCTGTGGAACTTGGAGGAGGTGGGAATACACAAGAGCTAGAGCAGACTGGAAGCCAGCGTTCTTTAGAGCTTCCCTTTACAGCTTTTGGCCCTTTAACAGGCAGACACGACGGTAACCCACGTCACAGCTTTTGACCCTGACGGCACTGGGCAGCAGGTGTGGCAGGATCTACTTCAGGATGGACAGCTGGACTCCCCTGCTGGTGATGGGGGGTCTCACAGGGAGGTGGTGGGAAAGAGGCTGTCCCTGTCTTGAGAGCAGGTGGGAGGCCTGGTAATGAATTGGCCTTGCTCCCATCTTTGGGATCCTTGGGGATGAAGGCTTCTGTGCTTCTCTCAGGTCCAAGCACCCTCTCGCAGAAAGGGGAAGGCATCGCTGGGGCTGTGTGTGTTACGAGTAAGCTGCCACCTCGAGGCCGGTGCTGCCTGGAGTTCTCACTGGCCTGGGACATGCCCAGAATCACGTTTGGAGGTCAGGGCCAGGTCTACCACAGGTGAGGGGACAGAGAGAGTATAGGGATCCAAGGTGGTAGGGTCTGACCTGGAGCCCATGTTCTTATCCCTCCCCTTTCTTCTCACCCCAGGCGATACACAAGGTTCTTTGGCTCAGATGGTGATGCGGCACCCGCCCTCAGTCACTATGCACTGTGCCAATACCCAGACTGGGAAGAGAGGATCTCAGCTTGGCAGAGCCCAGTATTGGATGACAGGTGTCAATGGGGCCCATCTCTCCCCTTTCTCCCAGGCACTCACACTCCAATTAGGACTCCTTAATTCACTCTCCACCCACCAAAGGCAGCAGAGTTGAGCTGGGCTTCACTTGGTGCCCCCACTCAACTGAACCCCCAAGTCCTTCCTCTCCTGGGAGGTCCACACTTACTAGACCACCCCCTCCTGACTCCGCAGGTCCTTGCCTGCCTGGTACAAATCTGCACTCTTCAATGAACTATACTTCCTGGCTGATGGAGGCACAGTGTGGCTGGAAGTTCCTGAGGACTCCCTGCCGGAGGAGCTGGGAGGGAGCATGTGTCAGCTCCGCCCCCTCCTCACGGAGTATGGTCGATTTGGCTACCTTGAAGGTACGGGCTGCTGGTGGCCATAGTATGGCAGGCCGTATCTGTGAGGCCAGTTAGTGCCCTACCACCAGGCAGGATGGTAAGTGTTGCCTGCCCAGGTCACTGGTTGGGATGAGGGGTAACTGGCAGGTATAGAGTGTGACAGCGCCCCACCCCCAACTCCAGAGGGCAAGCTAAGTAGGGAGGGGAATACGAAGAGGAATTCTGGCAACATTGTGTATCCCTCATTCCTCCAGGCCAGGAATATCGCATGTATAACACATACGATGTCCACTTCTACGCTTCCTTCGCCCTCATCATGCTATGGCCCAAACTCGAACTCAGCCTGCAGTATGACATGGGTGAGGGTCTCTTTTGTGCCTCTTCTGCCCCCTTTGCTTCCCCCGACCCTTGAACCTTTGTGGTCCCTCACATTATCCTTTCCCCCAAAATATACCTATACCCTGTTTACTGGTTTCCTTCTGGGGTCACACCCACAGCTCTACACCACCCCAAGGCTGCCCATTCTCTCCCCCCACTTGTATGTTTGCTTCCCCAGCCCTGGCCACACTTGGGGAAGACCTAACATGTCGACGGTACCTGATGAGTGGGGTAATGGCGCCTGTGAAAAGGAGGAACGTCATCCCCCATGATATTGGGGACCCAGGTAAAAGTCCTTCCACCTCAAGGTCAGCTTCCCTCAACTTTTGCACCCTCTCCCTACCACCAACACAAGTTAACCAAGTTCCCTTCCCTCCTGCAGATGACGAGCCATGGCTCCGGGTCAATGCGTATGTGATCCATGACACTGCTGACTGGAAGGACCTGAATTTGAAGTTTGTGCTGCAGGTTTATCGGGACTTTTACCTGACAGGGGACCAGGGCTTCCTGAGGGACATGTGGCCTGTGTGTCTGGTAAGGGATGCATGTACAGTGGCCAGTCCAGGAGCATGACTGGTGTTTGGGGACAGATAGCTGGCTGTTGTCTTTCCTTACCATCTAGGTCTTCCCTATCTTGCTCCCTCTCTAGGCCGTGATGGAGTCTGAAATGAAGTTTGACAAGGACCAAGATGGACTCATTGAAAATGGAGGCTATGCAGACCAGACCTACGATGCTTGGGTCACCACAGGCCCCAGGTTGGGGGACAGGGATGTACAGGGGGCCTGAGATGGCAACTAAGCACCAAGGGATGTGGGCCCAAGGAAGAGAGACTCATTGCCTGTTATATGGCATGGGAATGGCTGGAGCTGCCAGAGTGACCCCTAAACCCGTTTTCCCCGTCAGTGCTTACTGTGGAGGACTGTGGCTGGCAGCTGTGGCTGTGATGGTCCGGATGGCTGCTCTGTGTGGGACACAGGACATTCAAGATAAGTTTTCTTCCATCCTTAGCCGGGGCCAGCAAGCCTATGAGAGGCTGCTATGGAATGGTGAGTTGGAGTATTCCTAAGGAGTCTTAAGGCAGCTGTGGAAATACAAGGAGACTTACTTTTGCCCTTCCTCCACTCCAGGCCGCTATTACAACTATGATTGCAGCTCTCTGCCTCAATCCTGTAGCATCATGTCTGACCAGTGTGCTGGCCAGTGGTTCCTGAGGGCTAGTGGCCTAGGAGAAGGAGAAACTGAGGTGAGAGGGACTAGGAGGAGGAACCAGTTGGGTTTTTCTGGGAAGAAGCAAGTTTAAGAGACCGTGTTTCTGCCTTTGCCCCTCTAGGTATTTCCTACCCAACACGTGGTTCGTGCTCTCCAGACTATCTTTGAGCTCAATGTCCAGGCCTTTGCAGGAGGGACCATGGGGGCCGTGAATGGGATGCAGCCCCAGGGTGTCCCTGATAGATCCAGTGTCCAGTCTGATGAAGTCTGGGTGGGCGTGGTCTACGGGCTGGCAGCCACCATGATCCAGGAGGTAATGCACTGCCTTCCCCATCTCTCCACCATCTGTCTCATGGCCCAGCACTTCCTTAGCCCTCAATTATCTGCACTGCCTAACGCATGCCATCTATTCACCTAGAAAGCCTGCCTCTTTTCCCTGGCATGCATTACTGCTCTTGCCTTTAGTCACCTGTCTGTGGGTTAAATTTATCTCCCCCATTAGCTGGGAACTGCTTGAGGGCAGAGACCCCATTGCCTCCATCTGTCCAGTTCAAGAGACCATTCAGGGGGTGCCAACTAATGTGACTGCCATCTCTCCTTACAGGGCCTGACGTGGGAGGGCTTCCAGACAGCTGAAGGCTGCTACCGAACAGTGTGGGAGCGCCTGGGCCTGGGCTTCCAGACCCCAGAGGCATACTGCCAAAAGCGAGTGTTCCGCTCTCTGGCCTACATGCGGCCACTGAGCATCTGGGCCATGCAGCTGGCTCTGCAGCAGCAACATAAAAAGGCCTCCAGACCAATAGCTGAACAAGGCACAGGACTAAGCAAAGGGTCTAAACTCGGACCAAAGGGAGTCATGGCAAACCCAAGTCCAGAGTGAACCCCTGAACTATGGGAGGGAAGCACTAACATAAATCCCACCTGGCATTTGCTCTTCCCCATCATCCCAGTCTTCTGCAACCCTGAGCCACTAGGACAATCATGCTTCCCTTCCCTTCTCCCCACCAGCCACACCAGGAAAGGAGTTGAGGGTAACCCACGCATCAGAACCACTTATTTATTTCCTTATCCCATCCCCTCACTGCATGAAATGTTCAAGGTCAGTTGATTCCCCCAGGTCCATTCATGGGGTGATAGACATATATGGGTACAAATAAAGGACCCAGAAAGATGGTAAGTGTGGTGTGTTTGAGCCCTAAGGCATCCTGACAGGGCACAGAAGCTAAAACTAGCCTTCTCTTATTCCTTTTCATTTGGCCTCCCATCTAGCCTGAGTATCTGCCCTGCAAGATAACAGATACAGGGCTGTGGGCAGGGAGCCATCCCTCTTCTCTTGTGAGATTTGCATCCAGGGGAAGGATGGGACCCAGGCAGGCAAACTTTGAAAAGGGATCAGGGAGTGGCAATTTCAGAGGAGGTTCTGTGCCAGGAGCCTGAGGCATGTGGGAGGGCAGGCAGCAAGAGTTGCCAGGAGCCTGGAGCCCACTGTCTGAGCTATCCTTTGGTACCTCCGACTGCAGGGCCGACAGCTCCAGCAGATGAGGGAGGGCACGAAGCTGGCGGGATAATACTGAGAAGAAAAGACTCGTTAGAAGCAGGCCAGGTTTCTCCCACTAGTTCACCCATAAAACTATCCTCAAGCCCCTCACCTCCATGCTCAGCTGGCAGGCTCCCCCTGGTGCCAGAGGAGTACATAGCAGGTGCAAGGGCGAGACAGAAGAAGAACAGTAGGACCTGGAACAGGAGAAAAGGAAATGTTGAAGAGCTCCGGATTGCACCCATCCCTGCACCGGGAAGCAGGATCTTTCCTTCCATCACCATCCTTACCAGGACGCAGGCGCTGCTGCTGTTAGAGATCTGAGTCACCACGGCCTGCAGTCTCCTCAGCTGGTCCAGGAGGGACCTAGAAGATGGGACAGTTAGCAGCCCTAGCCTGGCACCCTGAGATACAATGAAGCCTTTCTGTAAAGGCCACCCCTCCACCTGTGCACTAGATCCTCTAAAAATTTAATAACATGTACACCTGTATACATGAGAGAGACCTAGAAACAGTAATTCTCTTTAAGTCCTGTTTTGGCAAATGACTTCCTCCTCTCTGTGGACAAAGTTCTTCATTAAAACAAATACACACCTCTGCCCTGCCCTGCCTTAAACTCCTTTGCAAACAGTCAGTGGTTCTACACTGCCTAATTAGCTACACACATAACCCTCACCAGGCAGTCTAGGTTCTCTATGTTCTGGCTCAACTCACCTATGTTAGGGTTCCAGCCAAACTGAACTATGCTGTGTTATCTCCCTAAAATGCTCCTTCCCATCTATATTCCCCACCCCAACTCCCAGAATCCTATCTATTATTAAATGTCATCTGCCCCATGAGGTCTTTCTCTTTTTTTTAAATATATTTTTAATGATTTCAGAGAGGGAGAGAGAAACATCCGTGATGGGAGAGAATCACTGATTGGCTGCCTCCTGCGTGCCCCACACTGGGGATCAAACCCACAACCTGTGTATGTACCCTGAGCAGGATTCGAACTGTGACCTGGTTCATTGGTCGACACTCAACCACTGAACCACTCCAGTAGGGTCCTCTTGTCTTTCTTGATACTTAACTTATCCTTTGTTATGTGTGATTTTATTCCCCATACTGTGAGCTTCTTACAATCAAACCAAATAAGGGCAAAGAATCAGACTTTGCATGTGGGAGCTGCCCGGTTGGAAATCAAGTGTGGAGCAGGGAAAAAGTGAGACAGCGGGAAAAGGGAGTGATGTTACAGAGAGGTGCTTACAGGTTCTGTTCCTCCAGGAGCTGTACTTTGTTCTGTAGCTCCAGGTTCTGGGCTGTGTATTTCAAGACCCTGAGGGAATAACAGGGATGTGGGAATATGGCCTGTATCCTCTCTTCCAAAGACCTCCCTCTTCCAACTACTGTTCCCCCAGCCCCAGAGTCCCGCTCCCGTTATACCTGCTCTCTAAACCTCCCACATACACCTTCTTCTTCCTGCGGCTCTCCTGAGCAGACTTCTTATTTCGGATCTTCCTCCGCACTCGTTTCAGGACTTGTTCCTCCATCTGAGAGAATAAAAGGAAAGGGGTCTCAGATCCAAGAGTTGGAAAGTTCAATCATCTTCCCAATGCAGGAATCCCTTCTACAGCTTCCCTTACCAACAGGCACTTCAGTTCTGGCCCCCAAGGACCAGCTGTTAACACCCTCACAGGCCAGACCATTTTTAACAATTTTATTGATTAAAAATCCTATCCTGAGCCAACACCTGCCTTCCATCCATTACACTTACCTAATACCTAATCTCTGGGGCCATACAGAAAAAATTAATGATCCTTAGCTATTTTAAGGCACTCAACATTTCCTCAGTTAATCTGGACAAGAATTTAACTCGTTTATCTCCTCAGAATAGACCACATCCTTTTAACATCTGGGCTCAAAAGTGGACACTAAGATGTGGTGTGGCCAGTATAATGAAGAACAAGATAGGAACCGCCCTTCTAAAGGCAATAGCTCTGTTGATACAGCCTCCAAACCCCATTCAACTTCTTAGTACCGGTAGACATAATACTACTAATGCACTAACACTTTTGAAATCTCTCTTAAAGAGAACAGGGAAATTGGTGTAAGCTCCACAAAACCAGGATCTGCCCCTGCATCTAGCATATTAACTACATCCCCCAGTTTCCTATTAACAGCAAATTTGCTAAGTTTCTCACTTCAGTCCCTTTTCAAGTTACTGATAAAATTAACAACTGGCCTATTTGGGACTCACAACCCCCCTCCAGCCTTTACTGAACCAATGGAAGTCCTACCTTAGTGAGAGGCAGTGTTTCAGGCAGAGTAAGCCCCTCCTGCTCCAACAGCCTCTTTTCCTCATCTGTCAGCATCAGCCCAACAATCTCCTGGGGTTAGGAAAGGTGGGCAGCAGAGTTGCAAAGGGATGTCAGAGAGGAATGAGGAATCCGGCCCCACCTCTGTAATGTGGGAATAATCCTCCTGTAAATCAAAGTACCTGCTCTGCCGGGTCCTCCACGTGCAGTGGCGTCATCTGGATCTCCTCTTTTCCACAGCTCCCACTAGCTGCAAAAGGGAAAGTGAATAGCCAGGCCCACGAATCCTCTCCTTCCCCCCAAACTTTACTATTTCATGCTCACCTAGATCTATGGAAACATGTTCTTGTGAGAGAGAGTAGGTGTGGTCGTGGTGGACAAGGCAGGGATTAGAGTCGCCAAAAATAGTCAACGAGTCTGAGGGACTCGGCAGGGAGTTCAGGAAATCCTCTACGTCCCAATCGCTCAGTGTCTGTACAGGGTTCAAATGAACAGTTCTTGACCTATATCACCACCCTTGCCCCACGAACACCCCAGCCCGCGCCAACCGGACTCAGAGCCCCCACCCACCTCAGAAAGCGGCAACTCCCAGTCCAGTGGAGCCTCCGAGGCCTCCTCGGGCGCCGCCCCCAAATCTCCGCTTTCCTCTAGCAGGAAGCCCAGCAGGTCCCGTTCACCCGGGTCCAACGCCAGCTCCATAGGGGAAATCTACTCGGGGGGTGGGGGGGAGGAGGGGAAGAGGACATAACACAGGAGTTCCCCCCTCCACCTGGCCCCAACCCCGAATCCCATGCACAATACCCACCGGCTGTCAGACGGCCCCACCTATCCGCTACTCCCTCTTCAGCCAGCTTTCCACCGCCTCCCCGTCTCGGTTTTCCGCAGCTTCCAACACAGCGGAAGTGACGCGCGGGCCCCCGAGGCATTCTGGGACTTGAAGTTCCCGGGAACGCGGAAGTGGGCTACGTGCGGCGCCACGTCCCGGGAGCTATGCAAATAGAGAGGACGTCCCTGCCGCTGCCGCACACCCCGAGGGCGGGCATTCTGGGCACCTGGCTCCGCCTTCGCCCCGGGCTAAGGAAACGGAGGATCAGAGGCTAAAGGGGAACTGGAGCGCAGCTGGAGCGCGCTTTTCCTCCCGGGCTGCGCCGCGCCCTTGCTTCCTGCTGGCGGAGGTGGCCGCTGGTCTGTGGGATCCCGAGCATCGAGAGCCGGAGCCAGAGCAGCTTCCTGCAGCTCCCGCAACCATAGAGCGCGGGCCCAGGGCGCCGCCCACGGGTGGGGGACGTTCCGGGGACGGAAGTGGCCTAAGACAGAGCCGAAGGGAGGGCGAGGCCGGATCCTGAGAGTCCCCGGGAGAACGAGCCGGCTAGCGGGCCGGCGGGCGGGGCGTAAGCCAGGCAGCGCAGGTACGTCCGACCGGGCCGAGCGGGAGCTGTTGGGTGGGGCCGCGAGGCCGGGCCCGGGAGGCGGGCGGGCGGGGCCCCTGACTCTCCTGCGCCTCCTGTTTCGGGGCTGGGAGAGGTCAGCGTCCAGTCTATTTCGGTTTGGGCTCGGAATTTAAAGTTAGACCCTTCTGCGGGAGCCAGGCCCTCCTGGGAGCGGTCCTCTGACTCAGATAAGTTTGGGGGAGGATGGGGAGTGGGGTGACAGTGAGGTGCGGGGCGGCGAGCGGCGTTGAGGTTTGCTAATAGGCGAGTAGGGGTGGGTAGGAGAGCTTTGGGTGAACCTGGGATTAGGGGGCATTGCGTTTAGGAATCAAGGTGACTTCATAAGTGATATAGCCCGAGATAAAAATGTAAGAGTTACTAGTGTGTCAGGTCGGTTTGATGGACGTAAAGTTTGGATGTAAGATCATTTTGTTTTCTAGGATGGCCAGCGTAAGTCAGCGTTCAGAGTCAACAACAGGAATTGGTTAGAAATTCCGTTTTGGGGGATTAGAGAACCATGGCATAGTCAGTTTTAAGACTAAACAGTGGAGGGACGGGTCAGGAAAGGGATGAATGTCAAAGCCGGTTTGGGGAAACAGGAAACAAATGAGGGTCAAGGTTAACGTTGGGAATTAGGGTCAGTTCTAGGGGTTGTGGTTGAAGTCAGGGTAGATGAGCCGAGGGAAGTAAAATTTAAGGAATTGACAGTTCCAAATCTGAGCTTTCCCATCATCTCATAGCACTCGCCCATCATTTGCACTCACTCATTCATCTGCATGCTTCTCAGTCATCTGCCGAATACCCTACGCCCAGCCCAACAGTACTGGCAAGTAACCCTGGTCCACGCTATGTGCTGTCCCCTGATTCTAAGCCTCCTTAATTTCTTGGTCTAAGTTGTAGATCCCCTTCCCCCACTCCCCAAACAGAAAAGAGGAAATGAGACCCAAAGAGGAAACTGGGTCTTGCAGATCCCACGCCCAGCCAGGCCACTGACCACACCCCCAAGTCACTCCCAGCATGACCCTGTCACTGACCATAGCACTGTCCCTTCCTCAGCCTGACCCCATCCCATCCCCCATCCCCAACTCCAGCTTTACTTAGACACCGCCCGTGTCCCTTCCTTCACTCTTCCTCCCTCCCAGCCTAATTTAGCCGCTGACCACAGCCCCATCTCTGCTCAGCCTTCTGGAGCCCGACCTAGCCTCTGACCTCACTTCATCACTCCCTGATTTAGCCACTGTCCACACAATTATTCTTCCCCTTCGCCCAGCCTGATCCGGTGACTGATTATCCTACTGCCATCTTCCCAGACTCCCTCTATGCCTTGTCTGTCCCATTTCCAGCCTGATACACTAACTAACCCCATCCCTTTTTTTTCTCTTTTTTTAATTTTAAGAGGAGGTATGCACATGCTTTTGATGTTTTTTTTTTAATATATTGCAGTTGGCATATATTAATTTCAGGTGTGCAACAGGGTGTTTAGGCATTTGTATACCTTACAAAGTGATCACACCAGTAAATCTAGTACCCATCTGGCACAGTGCACTAACCTTCTGCCCCTACCTAGTACTAACCACATCCCCCTCCCCTTCCACCATCCCCCCACCCCCCGCAGCCTAACCACATCCCCATCTTCACATTCCCAACTCAGCCTGATCCTTTCTTTCCCCCTTCCCAGTTTCTCACCTAAACTCAAGCTGCCCCAGCTTCTGAGTGGCTTGTTAATGACAAGAAGCCAGGCCCTTTGGGTCCTTGGAAACCCAGCCTGACTTTGGGTTCTGGTCCCTGATGGCTGACAGAACATACTGTCATATCAGATCCTGTCTGTTCTACCTCTTTAACTTTCTAATGAGTGACATCCTTCTCTCCCCTATTCTGTCTCCGGCTTCATTACCTCTCCCTTGTGCAAATGCAGTGTCTCGTTTCTCATCTCCAAGGTAACTGCCCAGAGGTATTTTTCTGAAGTCCAGTTCTGATATTTCCCTTCTCTCCTCACAGCCTCCCTTAGCCGCCTGCCACCCTCCAGTAGGTCACGTCCCTCATACTTCTCTCTAGTCCTGCCTGGCCTTTTCATCTAACCCTGACTTCCCCGTCACTGCTCCCTTGCAGGTACCTGTGCTTCAGCCAGCCTGTCTACTCACTTCCCCGAATGCTCCTACGTGATTTCCTGCTTCTTCACCTTTGCTTATGCTATTCTCTCTGCCTGGAATGCTGCCCCTGACTCATCGGCGGCGGCTGGGATAGTGGAGAGCTTGGGCTTTGGAGGCAGAGAGACCCGGGTTCGGATCGTGGCTTCACAGCTTAGGTGTGTGACTTTGGACAAGTACCTTGAACAAGCGTTGCACGTCTTCGAACCTCAGTTTCATAACCTGTAAGAATGGAAATAATGACACCTACCTTGCAGGGTTGTTGTAAGGATTGAATGAAATGTGTACAAAGCAATGGACATATAGTAAATAAAAAGACAGATCACTGATATTTTTATATTACTTTTTTTTTTTTAATCCTAACTTCTAAGGGCATTTCTCATGGAGACTCTTTGGTCCTTCCCTAACCTACAGGCATCCTCCCCTGAGCACACACCTCTCGGCTTTTACCACATCCTGCCCTCTAATGACAATTCTGTGCTTCACGTACCCACTGATCTGACTGGGAGCCCCAGGAGAGCAAAAACTGGGAGGGCTTACTCTTGGCTCCCAGCGTCTTCCCTGCAGCGGGACTTCAGAAATGCTGGGTGAATGGAGGGAGAATATCTACGCAGGGGGAGAAGAGATGTGGGTGACAGTTGTGCTTGCCGATAGAGGTGTACTTGTGGGGAAGCTGTGTGTGTGGGGGGGGGGGCGGTGAGGTCTTTATGGGAAGATAATGTGGTTGTGATGGGATCTGTGGAGGGGCTGTGTGGCCGAGATAATGTGTATCTAGAGACGGTGTAAGTCGCTTGGTGGGAAAGAGCTCTGCGCACAGGCTCTTTGGGGGTATATCTGGGGAGAAGGAATGCGCATGGGTCAGGGTAAAGGTGAGGAGAGGCTGTGTTGGGAGAGGTCAGGTCCAGACCTTTAGCTGCCCGGTCCAGCCCTAAGTGAGCCTCCGGCAACTTGAGGCCGGATATGTCAGTCTCACCCACAGCCCTCACCGCTCCCCCCTCCTCGCGGTTGCGGACTCAGAAGCCAAATTTGGTAACAGACTGAGTGTTACTCCCCCAGCCCTCTTCCACTCTGACTCTGTCTTCAGCTTTCTCTCTCCCCTTTGTCCCTCTCTGTAACTCCCTCCCTATCTTTCTGCATGTCTGTTTGTGGGTATCTGCTCCGACTCTGTTCTCCATGTGCCCCAAATTCCTTATCCCGAGTATACTTACATTCCATTCCTTGCTGGGATTTGACCTCCTGTCCTCCATTCCCCCCCTCCCCGCCACTCCAATTGCCCAACTCCTCTGGAATGTATCTCAGGAATGTCTTGAGGGAGGAGGAGTTCCCTGGGAGGGGGATATGAGGAGGAGGGGGTGTTGTTGTTGCTCTTCCTCCGTAAAACATGGAAAGGGTAAGAAAGTTCTGGGGCCAGAGCAGGAGCGAGGTATACTCCCAGGAGCCTTGTTCTGTGCCCTCCTCACCCTCAATTCACCCCTCCATGCCCTTTCCGCCCCACCCTCTCGTAACTATGTGGATGTCCACGCAGGACCGGCCTGAGAGTAGGGGTAGGCATGACTCAACTCCCTTATCGGGGTCTCACCAGAGGTTTCCGTACTTGAGGAAGAAGGGGGTGCCTGTATGTCCGGAGGAAATGGGGGGGGGGGGGCTGTGTTGCAATTTCAGCTTTGGGTGTAGGGTCCTTTCAGTCTTGCCCTCTGCTCCTCTGACTCCTCCACCAGCTTCGCTCCTCCAGAGACCCCACATCCAGGTCTGTCCACCTACTGAGAGACGTGTCCGAGCAATGGGGAGGTGGGCAGAGAGCGGGAACTGGGGAGACTGGGAGGGTGCTCTCTTGTTTGGGAGTAAAGAGAGAGCAAGCCGTGGCTTCCTCTCTTTTGAGACTCTGGGCGTTGAGGATGTCAAAATGGTCCATTAGACCCTAACCCAGGCCCTGCCTTGTCTCCTGTTTCTACCTAAACTTTTCAGTCCCCTGTATCCCATCCTTTTCTACCTTCTTCACCCCCAAAAATATACCCCTTCCCAACTTCCCTGGTACTCAGCTGTCTTCTGTATCCCAACACCTAATTCTGCTTCCAACTTTGCCCCTAATCCTGCTCTCTCTCCCACTGGGGCTAGCAGTTTACCAGGAGGGGGCCCGGTAGCCTGCATGTGCTGGCTCAATTAAGAAGCCAATCCCCTTACGGAGCTGGGTCACATCATCAGCTGCCGGGCAGACTTGTCTTTCTGTGCACTGGGCGCCACCTGCCGCCTTGAGTGGCTCCTCCAGCCCACTAAGAATTGGTGCCAGGAGGGCGGTGGCAGGCAGGTTGGGACTAGAATCCTGAGAAGCACTGAAAATACCACCGGGGAGGGAGCGGAGACAGAGGGAGAGTCTGAGGAGGACTTGCTGAAGAGGTGAGTGTAGGAGGGGTTTGAGGATGTGTTGACTTAGAAGGAGCGGAGACTGGATTAGACAAACTGGGCTCTTCCTCTGACCTGCCTTGAAGCTGCCCCTCTTTCCCCCCTTCTTCCACAGGGTCTGGTTCTTTCTGCCAAACTGAAGAGTTGATTAGATAATTTCTGAGGTCCCTTTGGAATAGAGGGTCATTATTCTAGCTTGATTGCCAGGGAAGCCAAATATGGGCAAAGCTCCTTGAACATCTCGTTAGAGGAAAGCTGGGGCCGGAGTGCGTTAGGTGGCCTGAACGGCCAGCATTTGGTCTTCCTGCCAGACGAGCCAGAGCCAGTGCCTGCAGGCTTCAAAAGCCCTTGGGGATTATCTAACACAACATCTTCATGTTGTAGAGAAGGAAGCTGAGGCTGTGAGAGAGAAGGTCACCTGATGAGTCAGGGCAGAGCTCTGAAAATCCCAGACAGGGAAAAGCCAGCAGGCAGGATTCCATGTGAGACAGACAGAAAAAGACCGAACCAGGGAAACGATGAAGACAAGGCAGAGCCGGGCTGGGAAAGGAGCAGAAAGAGATGAGGAGCAAGAGAGAGACACTTAGAAGAAAGAAAGGAGGCACAGAGAGAGACACTTAGAAGGAAGAACGGAGACACGGATTCTAGTGGTGAGGACAGGGCGCTGTCCCAGGTGACTTGGGATTCCAGACCTGCTCTTGCACCTTGCACACCAGCTTCTCCCTCTGATGCCTTAGGTGGTTAGAACTGGTCCTTTCACTCTTTGAAATTATTAAATAAAACAAAAACAGCCTCATTACTCTCTGTTTTGGCGAGTCCCTTCCAAAAACACCCCTCCCTGGGACTCCATGGGGGAGACCTCCTCTCCCTGTGGGGGAGTCCTAACACCCTGATGCCGTGGGCCAGGTGTAGCCAGGCTGGAGAAGAGAAGCCGCCACCATGGTTGCGCTTTCGCTGAAGATCAGCATTGGGAATGTGGTGAAGACGATGCAGTTCGAGCCGTCCACCATGGTGTACGATGCTTGTCGCATGATCCGGGAACGCATTCCAGAGGCACCAGCTGGCCCCCGTGAGTCTGATTACCCACGTGGCCCCGGGGCAGGATTGCTCCATCCCTTCTGTGTTCCCAGGCTCTTGTCCTTGAGGGATGACCCTGCTGCCCTCTCAGGCTACTCACCCCTCAGGTCCATGCTCCATGGTTCCCGCCCTCCCCTGTTAGCCCGGAGCCGCTCAGGAAATAATGAGGACAGTAATGCAGCCATTCAGACACTTTGGAGTCCTTATAAGTCTGAGGTGATCCATCCTCTCTTTTAGCCAGCGACTTTGGGCTGTTTCTGTCCGACGATGACCCCAAAAAGGGTATATGGCTGGAGGCCGGGAAAGCTTTGGATTACTACATGCTCCGCAATGGGGTGAGTATCACCTCATCAAGGAAAACCAACATCCTCTTCCCTCAACTTCCTGGTTCCACCTCCTATTTGCAGCACTCACATCTGTTGTCTCTCTTCCCTCCCATGCTTTCTATTACAAGCAGTCATAACACCCTGCTTTTGAGTGAGCCATTCGAGTCCTTCTTATAATCTTTCCTCCCGCTGGCCGTGTTAAAAGGAAGTAATGCCTCTAGCTTAAAGCGGGCCCCTATCTCCTATTCCTGCCCCCACAGGACACCATGGAGTACAGGAAGAAGCAGAGGCCCCTGAAGATCCGCATGCTGGATGGGACCGTGAAGACTATCATGGTGGATGACTCCAAGACCGTCACTGATATGCTCATGACTATCTGTGCCCGCATCGGTAAGGGGGCTGAGGGCTCAGGAGGGAGGCTCCTGCTCTGGCCGAAGACGCTGCTACCTACCCCTCCCTCCTTCTCTCCCTCCTCCAGGCATCACCAACCATGACGAATATTCTCTGGTTCGGGAGCTCATGGAAGAGAAAAAGGAGGAGGTGACGGGCACCTTACGAAAGGACAAGACGCTGCTCCGAGATGAAAAGAAGATGGAGAAACTAAAGCAGAAATTGCACACGGACGATGAGCGTAAGCAGAAGTAGAAGGCAGTGGGCCCTAGAAATGGTCAGGGCGGCAGGGGTCCGCCATTTGTTTTTACTGATTGAACACCTGCCTTTGCAAGCGCAGTTTTAGACCCCGGGGATGCATCAGTAATCAGACAAAGCCCTGTACTCACAGGACTTAGCCTGTGAGTGAGAGGAGGTAGGAAATGAAGGAATGAACATACAGAAAGCCAGAGATAGCACGGGGGCCATGGGGCTCGGCGCTGAGCAGACTCTGTGTCCCAGTGAACTGGCTGGACCATGGCCGCACCCTGAGGGAGCAGGGCGTGGAGGAGAACGAAACGCTGCTGCTGCGGAGGAAGTTCTTCTACTCGGACCAGAACGTGGACTCCCGGGACCCCGTGCAGCTGAACCTGCTCTATGTGCAGGTGCGGAGAGGACCCGCCTGGGGCACTGGAGGGAGGGAGGCGGGCCCGTGAGGGGCACACAGCATTCACCTCCTCTCCCTCTGCTCGCCAGGCACGAGACGATATCCTGAATGGCTCCCACCCTGTCTCCTTTGACAAGGCCTGTGAGTTTGCTGGTTTCCAATGCCAGATCCAGTTTGGGCCCCACAATGAGCAGAAGCACAAGGCGGGCTTCCTTGAGTGAGTGACTCACATTCCACATCCCGTCAGCGCCCAGGACTCTCTGCCTCTGTGGCCCCCACCGTCTGTCTCCATCCCAGGCCTTCTCACCCCGCTTTCTCTCCTGAGGTGCCAGGGTGTGACCACACGGGGACCCTTTTAGCTTCTATCAGCCATTTGTCTCCGTACTGGCCCCATGTGGAACATGAATATAGTTCAGATCACTTCCCCTGCTATGTATGTCTGAAGCAGGCATATAGCTTTCTTGAGATTTCTCTGGAGAATTTCACTGCA